GAAGGAGGGCCTGGCAACCCACTCCAGTAATCTTGCCTGGAGAATCCCATGGACAGAGAAGCCTGGTGGGCTACAGTCAATGGGGTCTCAAAGAGTTGGACATGACTGCACACACCAGGCAGGTATCATTGTCAAAAAGGCATTGGGTGAAGTAAGATCCCCACCTTATTTCCCCGAATTTTCTCAACACTGTGACATCACTTCTCAGCCTCAGTTTCCTCATCAGCAAAATGACAGTCCGTATCTCAAGGACAGCTGGAAAGCTGATAAAATAGTCTGAGTGAAGAGTCGAGCACAAGGCAGGGCCCTCTAAAGGTTGGGCAAGGCAGAGCCATTTGCCCCAGAACCCTGTAGCCTGCAAGTGGCTGATGTCAACTTCAGAGAATGAAGTGACTCCACCCCTTGCCAGGGCCCCTGTCCTGTTCAGATTACAGAGCTTCTCTGACCTTGCTCATCTTTCCCCAAGGAAAGATGAACTCCCCAACAGGAGAATTTTAAAGAGGCAGCTGACGGTCACATGCTACCTCTGTCCTTTAACCCACATTCTCACACTGTCACCAAGTCTCAACTCAGGAGGCATATAGAACATCACACCTACCCTTTTACACTTCGGAAAACTGAGGCCCGGAGCAAGGAGGCTCAGCCAATTGCTAATTGCTGCAGGCTGGGATTGATACTGTCGCCTCCTGACCCCCAGCCTGACACCCTTTCCCCGACTCTGCTTGCCTTAGGAACACCCTCGGGAAAACATCCGTGTCTCCTCAATGCATCTTGCGCAAAATTCAGATTCCCTGGCAACTTCTGCCTAGTTTTCCAGCTTCGTTCCTCCCATCTGGGTCCAGGTTGGTCCCTGCTCCTCTGGGCCACAATATCGACTCGAATCTTTAAGCCAAAGTCAAGCAGGCAAAGCTTTGTGTGCATTCCATCTTCTACATTAACCCTCTTGCTTAAGTGCCAATAAGGAACATTCAGATATAGTAGCCAGTAGCTGCATGCGGCTACTTAACGTAAAAGAAAATTAAAACTCCAATTTGATTGCACTAGCCTCATTTCAAGTCCTTAAGAGCCACCTGGGGCTTAGTGCCTGCCCTGTTAGATACTGCAGACACAGAACGTTTCCACCACCATGAAGTTATACTGGATAGCTCTCTCTAGTCTGGAACTTTTGTCCTTCCCATTTTACAAATGAAGCAATTGAAGGTCAGAGAGATCATACCCAAGGTCACACAGCTAGAGCTGAGATTTAAATTAATCCTTGGCCACTAGAGACAACTAGTAGAGTAGGTGGTCACGCGTGCATGCTCAGTCATTCAGTCGTGTCCGCCTCTTTGTGAACCCATGGACTATAGCCCTCCAAGGCTCCTCTGTCCATGGAATTTTCCAGGCAAGAATAATGGAGCGGGTTGCCATTTCCTACTCCAAGGGAATCTTCCCAACCCAGGAATTGAACCCAGTCTCTTGCATCTCCTGCACTGGCAGGTGGATTCTTTACCACTGGGCCACCAGGGATGCTGGTCAATCTCCTCAAATCCAGGGAAGCTGCCATCATTTTCAGAAGACTTATGCTGTGAATATATACTGATCCCACCGTGCTTAACGGCTTAAGCACTATGTGTGTACGTGTGTTTATTACACACCAGAGGCAGCCAGTATTCTAACCTGAAAGCCTGCATCACAAACACTTCCTCTATCTTTATCCACAAGGGAAGTTTTGCTTGTTAGCATAATGAATGGCAGAAACTCTTGGTTTTACTTGTGAAATCGGGGCTTCTTAATTACCCTGATAAAGGTTGGAAAAATGGGCTCCCATGGGTGGGATTAACAGTATTCAAACATGCATTGTTTAAAATAAATCTGAGACTCACTCACTCCCAACCTTGTATGAAGACACTAGAAAAACAAGAGCTAAAATGTGGCAGCCTGGATGGGAGGGGAGTTTGGGGGAGGATGGATACATATGTTATGTATGGCTGAGTCCCTGTGCTGTCCGCCTGAAACTATCACAACATTGGTAATAGGCTATACCCCAATGCAAAATAAAAAGTTAAAAAAACAAAGAGCTAAAATGCTGAGCCGGTCCTGTGTGAACTTGGGAGGATTCATCTTGCCTGATACACAGCATAAGGTTCACAGGCTTTAGGGTATTAATTTTTGTTTTGTTTTAATGCAGCATTGAGGGGGGCTTCCTAGGTGGCACTAGTGGTAAAGAATCCACCTGTCAATGCAGAAGACATAAGAGACTCGGGTTCGATCCCTGGGTTGGGAAGATCCCCTGGAGAAGAACATGGCAACCCACTCTAGTATTCTTGCCTGGAGAATCCCCATGGACAGAGCAGCCTGGCAGGCTACAGTCCATGGGGTCACAGAGAGTCAGACACAACTGAAGAGACTTACCATAGCATTGATGGTTGCAACACCATAATGGCTAGAATTCATGAAACTTTCAGATGTCAATTCTCTTGTGCTGGTGCATTAAGTTTACTGTCTTCACAGCAGAATTTGACCCAAGATCTTTTATCATGACCTGGCCACCAGATGTTGGAGGCGTGGTCAATCAGATCCTCTCGGTTTCCAGGAATGACTTTGTGGTACCAGAAGAACCCGAGTTGCGTCAGATACGGTGCACGTTCAGAGAAACAAGGCTTACCTGGGTCTGTGTGCTCTGTCACATCCGACTCTTCTGTGACCCAATGGACTGTAGCCCGCCAGGCTCCTCTGTCCATGTAACTCTCCAGGCAAGAATACTGGAGTGGGTTGCCATGCCCTCCTCCAGGGGATCTTCCTGACCCAGGGATCAAACACTTGTCTCTTATACTGGCAGGTGGATTCTTTACCTGGGTTTCCTAGCCTCCAAAAACTGTGTGGTCTGAACCCTCGCTTTATAACCCGCAGCAGTCCCTGTGTCTGGACCTGGCCCAGGCCTGGGGGCTGCCTCTTGCCAAGCTCTCAGAACCCCCTCAAGTTCTATCTGCCCAGCGAAGGGCAGGGACTGAGTCCATTCCTTACCCCTACCTGGCCCCAGACAGACAACTCACAAGACACACCTTGAGAAATAGGATGGGAAAAGAAGCCACATCAGCCATGAAGATCGGTGAAAGCCTTGGTTTAATTGGAGACAAGATCGAAGGGTTGAGTATCGATCAGCGGACCGACTGACTGATCGTTAAACTGGACAACACTTGAGCAGCTCCCGGGGGGGTGGGTGTCGTCCTGGGCTCCCCTCCCCTGGGTCCCTGGGGACAGGGAGAGGGGCAGGTACTGCCCAGCCCTCACCTCCCCCTCTGATCACATGACTCCCTGTTAAACAGCACTGACTCCACACTTCTGGGGGTCTATGGTACAGTTTGTATAATACAGCAGGAATGGAGACTCCCCCTGGGAGACCCCCACCCCTCTTTCCCCTGACTGAGTCAGTGGAGGAAGGGCAAGTTTATTTTCCCTTTTTGCCTCTGTAGAATAATTTACAAACCAGCCTTACAGTATGTACAAAAAAAAAACAAAAACAAAAGAGAAAGAAAGAGAACCAAAAGAAAAGGCCCCCTCCGGTCGCCGGCTGGGACTGAAATTACTTTCGCTACAAAAATGAACCCTGTACAGCATCTTGGGGGTGGGAATGGCGGTACTCCCCACAGGGAAGGACAGACAGATGGAAGGCTGGGGGGAGCTGGGGGCTACAGTACGGTGTGCTCAGAATCGGAGGGGAGGAAGATGAGAGAGGCCGGTCCTGCCCAGCTGCAGAACCAAGCTGAGGGGCAGAGCGGATGGGGGAAGTGGGGGTCTTTCCTTCCAAATAGTCCCCCCATGGCTTGAAGAAAAATGGCCTTGCATCTGTCTGTCGTATTGCTCCAGGGAATAGCTAGGGGAAGACAGGGAGGCTTGGCAAGGTGGGGGATGAAAGGAGAAATGACTCTGATGCCAGGGTGGGGTGGGCCGCCCAGAAAGGGGATGTAGGTGTACACTGTTATTGCTTCCTCCTAGGGCAAAGAGTTGGGGGTGGGCAGGAGGATGCTGGGGAGGGGGCATACCCAGGACAGGAACTCTGGGCCTGGCCCCGCCCCACTCGAGGTGCAAGTGGGAGCCACTGCAACCCCCACTCCTATGGCCGTGGGAATCATTAAGGCAGAAACAAGAGGAGAAGCAGCTGGAAGGAAGGGGGGTGGCTCCAAATCATCCCCCCTCTCCAAACGGAGAAAATTCAAACCAAAACCCAGAGTGGAAGAGGAAAGGGGTGATGAGCGGAGGGGAAAGTGGGATCAGGCCCTCCTCAAACCTCAGACCCCAGGTTGGTGGTGTGAATGTCCCTCTGACACCCTCCCCTTGCCTCCTGAAGCCCCATGGCTCCCTCGAGTCAGTATTGCCAGGTTTGTGCAAAATGAGGCGGAAGACTTCTGGGGAGGGGAGGGTGGAAAGCCAGAGTAGGACTGGAGCTGGGGCCCCCCCTACATTGGGCGACCCCTCCCCACCCCCAGGGGCCCCACCCAGAATGGCTATTCCTGGCTGGGTTCTAGAGATCCTCCCCAAATTCAGAAGAAGTCTGGAGGGAGATTCTACACCAGGCAAAGAGCCCCAAGAGGCCGGAAGACTAAGCCTGGAACCTGGGTGACGGTGGTGAGGATTGGGGGCTGACGAGGTAGGGTTGGGGGGGGCGGTGGTTGGAACTCGACAAGGGGAGCCGGGAACAGGAGCATCTACAGTTGCTGTGTTTCATCCTGTTTTTTTTTTTTTTTTCTTTTTCTAAAAATGTAACAATTAAAATTCCAAAAATAAAATCACTTCCGGGACCTCAGCCCCTGGTTCCCCAGCCCCCACCTCCAAAAAGAGGCCCCTGGGTGGGGGTGGGGGGGAAAGAGGAAAAAAAGAAAAGAGAAAAAAAACCCACTTTTCTGTTTTCTTTTTTCTCAGGAGGCCCAAGAGTCTTTGAGGCAGTGGAGGAGGTCAGGGGGTGATGGTGGTGGCGGTGGCGGGTGGCACGGAGGCCAACCGGGTGCAGGGACTGACGCTCAGGTCGGGCCACCAGCTGACCCCCAGCCTCCGGGAGCTGGAAGTGCTCCAGGAGTGGGATCCTCGCCAGATGTCCCCATGCAGGCACAGCATGCCCTCTTGGCAGCCTGATGCTCTTTTTGGGCCCCCACCTCGGCCGCCATGGAGGGGAGGCCCAGAAGGCCCGGGTCGTCCTCTGGAGGGGGCGGTGTCCTCAAGGCAAGTGGAGCAAGGCTATTAGGAGACAGGGCAGGGATGCTGCGGCGGCAGCCCATGTAGACATCCACGGATGCGCCTCGGGGCACGGACACATCCTGACCAGCTGCCACACTACCTGTGGCGTCCACTCGCCGGGTCAAGTACATTTCCTCTATCTCCACCTCCGCAGATGGATCCTGGCCATCAAACTCCAAAGGGCCTTCAGGTGGGGAGGCGTCCTGGGCCGTGTACAATTCCTGAACTGCAACTGCGCCTGGGACACTGCACACCTCCTCCTCCTCTTCCTCGTCCAGTGTCAGCTCAAATTGGAACTTGTCTGGTGGTGGGGGGTGGCCCGGTCCCCCAGGCTCCTCCTCGGGGGGTGGCGAGGGGCTTTGCCGAATGGCGCTGTAGTACCAGTCCCGGTTGTCCTCCAGAGTGTCCAGGATCTCTTGGGCGTCTGGGTGGACCAAGTCAGCCCACGTCTCCCACAGCGGGTGTACAATATAGTCGATGAAACCCACCTGAGGGAGCGGGAGGGAAGCAGAAACCAGAGATGGCACCACCATGTTGCGGGATCTGATAAAATTTAAAAGAGGCTGGTGCAGGGAACTTCCCCGGTCATCCAGGTAAGGTTAGGACTCTGCACTTCCATGGCAGGTGGACAGGGTTCAATCCCTGATCTGGGAACTGAGATCCTGCATGCCACGCAGTGCAGCAAAAACTAAATAAAAATAAGAGATACTGATGCCATTTGACCTAGCAAGTTTGCTTCTCCAGATCCACCCTGGAAAAACTCTTGTGTAAGTAAGGGGGAAAGTAATCACATATGAGATGTAAACAAAAACTGGAAACACCTCTATATATACCTCAGATGGGAATTAGTTTTTAAAAATGGTGGTAAGTCACAGATATTCATGAAAGCCCCCACCCCCCCTTTTTTTTTTGCCTCGCTGTGTGGCTTGCAGGATTTTAGTTCCCAGAATGCATGTGTTTTCAGTTGCTAAGTTGTGTTCAGCTCTTTGAGACCCCATGGACTGTAGCCAGCCATGCTCCTCTGTTCATGGGATTTTCCCAGCAAGAATGAAAAAAAAAAAAAGAATATTGGAATAGGTTGCCATTTCCTTCTCCAAGGGATCTTCCCAACTCAGGGATCAAACCCTTGTCTCCTGCATTGGCAGGCAGATTCTTTACCACTGAGCCACCTGGGAAGCCCATGGGCATACTACACAGCAGTGAAAAAGGATGAGTTTAATTTATGTGTAATAAGGTGGAAAGATCTCCAAGTCACTGTTGGGAAGAAAAGGTAAGCTATATAAAAATAAGAATATACTGATACAATTTACATTTTTAACAAAGCTAAGCCTACAAACTATTCCTATTAAGTTACCTGTGAATATAAATGCGTAACAAAACAAATAAATCTGGTTTTCATCAGGGATTAGGGGGCTATGTGGATGACCAGGGGACACTTGGAAGTGTCTGGACACAGTTTCAGCTATTACCACAGGAAGGGGAGGGTGTTCCTCGCATCCCGTGGGTGGAGGCCAAGGATACTGCTCAACACCTTACAATGTAGAGGGTGGGCCCACCACAGAGAATGAGCCATCCCCAAACTTCAATAGTGCTGAGGCTGGGTAACCCTGCATGGGAAACATACACACACCAAGACAAGAAGAGGCGATCTCACCAGGGAAGAAGCTAGGAGCAGGGAGAGTGAGAAACTCTCATGCTCAGAAGCTTTATCCTTTTTATTTGTTTAGGCCAGCTGCATGGCATGTGGGTTCCTAATCCTCCGACCAGGGATGGAACCCATCCCCCTGCACTGGGAGAATGGAGTCTTAACCACTAGACCTCCAGGGAAGTCCCCGAAGTGTTGTCCTTTACAAGACCATCTTTCTGTCTCTTTTGTTAAACAGGCAGATGACAAAGCTGAGTCATTTCAGTCCCTTTCAAAATCCATCAGGACTTCCCTGGTGGCACAGTGGATAAGAATCTGCCTGCCAATGCAGGGGATATGGGTTCGATCCCTGGTCTGGGAAGACTCCATATGCCATGGAGCAAATAAGCTGGTGCACAATAGCTTCTGAATCCATGGCTCTAGGGCCCATGAGCCGCAACTACTGAGCCTGTGTGCTGCAATTACTGAAGCCCACACACCTAGAACCTGTGCTCCGCAACAAGAGAAGCCCAGACACCTCAATGAAGAGTAGCCTCTGCTCACTGCAACTAGAGAAAGTCTGAAGGAGCAACGAAGACCCTTGCGACAAGAAAAAAAAAAATCCATCAAAACTCAGGCCCAAAATGAGTGGTCAGATCATAGGGGAACCAAGAGGCTGAACAGACACGAGGTCTGTAACTAATGGTCAGATGAATATTATTAGTGATGTTATGGCAGTCGCAACAAATGAGTTAGAACTGTCTGGGCGCAAATCTACAAATTAAGGAATTGGAGGTTCAGTTCAGTTGTTCTGTGGAGCAGAAAATGTTACCTATTTCTCATCATGATAGAGAAGGAAAAAAAAAAAACCTTGACACTGTGGATGGGCAGCTTAGGGCCTCCGGGGCCTTGGAGCTCCAGGCCAGGATGTGAGGTAGGGAGGCTTTCCCTGCTCCCTCCCAGCACCCCAAGACTCTACCTGAGACTTTTCCACTGAGGCTGTGTGCTTGTCGCACATGGGACTGATCTCCATGCCTCGCTCACGTTCGCGGTCGCCCTGCTGGAAGAACTCGGCCATGATGCGGTCGGTCCACTGGCGGTAAAGCTCCAGCGGCTTGGTGGGGTTGCTAAGGTCTGCGCAGTGCACCATGTTCCGTAGAACCTGAGTGGGATGGAGGGGCCTTTAGAGGCCATGGCCCCGACCCAGTTTCAGGCCCCAGGCTTTCTTACTTTCCCTTTGGAAAGAGAGTAGGGGGTGGGGCGGGGAGGTGGGTAAGGGGAGAGATGGATGGAGGAAGAGGAGGGGAGGGAAAAGGGAGATGAGTGGAGGAGAGAAGGGGAGAGATGAGAGGTGAGAGGTGGCTGATGAGCAAAGGGCAGAAGGAGGGAAGGGAAAAGAGGCAGTGGGGGAGACAGAGGTATGTGAGGAATGGAGACAGGGCTTGATGAAGAAAGGGAAAAGGGGGGCTTCCCTGGTGGCTCAGTGGTCAAGAATTCACCTGCCAGTGCACAAGACAGAGGTCTGATCCCTGGTCTGGGAGGACCCCACAAGCTGAAGGGTAACTGGGCCTGTGTGTCACAGCTATTAAGCCTGTGCTCTAGAGCTTGGGAGCCTCAACTACTGAGCCCACATGCCGCAGGAACTACTGAAGCCCGCGCACCCTAGAGCCTGTACTCTGCAACGAGAGAAACCACCACAATGAGGAGTCTGTGCACTGCAACTAGAGTGTAGTTCCCGCTTGCCCCAACTAGAGAAAAACCTGCGCAGCAATGAAGACCAAGCATGGCCATAAACAAACAAACAAAAAAAAACACATTATGTTAAAAAAAGAAAGGGAAGAGGGAATTGGGTGAGATGGGGGAGATGGGTTAGATGGCAGAGGAGAGAAAAGACAAGGAAGATGGGCAACCTGTGAGCTGAGGGCAGAATGAGGGACAGCAACCCAGACCTAAGGCAGGACAGGAGGGAAAGAGTCCTTATATGGTGTGTGTGTGGGGGGCACCTGGATGCGGTCGGAATAGTTATCCAGCAAGAGAACCCCCGAGCTGGTCACTTTCTTAGTCTCCACCATGGTCTTCAGGTCAGCCAGGAGGGTCATGTGCTTGGACATATCCGTGGCCAGCACCTGTGGGCAAGGAGTTGTCCTGGGGGCCCTTGAAGCCTAGCCACCCTCTGTGCCCACCCAACCCAAACTTTTCATGGAGCACAATCAGCCCGGGGAATTCCCTGGCAGACCAGCTTCCACTGAAGGGGGCACAGGTTTGATTCCCGGTCAAGGAACTAAGATTCCACCTTATGCAGGGGGTGGGGGAAAAAAAAATCCTAGCCCCCACAACCCCCTCCCAAAGGACGGCTCTCCTACTCGGGGCCTGTCCATCCCAGACTCAGACCAGACCCTCCCCAAATTCCCCTCGGCCCAAAGGCGGCCTTCCGCACTGTCCCCGCCCACCATGTCGATGACCATCTTGCGCAGGCTCTGCCGCTGGCGCTTGCCGAGGTTCTGGAAGATGTCACAGTTGTCTTCCTGCAGCAGCTTGAAGCCCACGGCCAGGTGGTGATTCTCCAGCACCGACTCGTCATTGTACATGAGTGCCAGTTCCGAATCTGGGGCCCAGGTCAGGTTGGGGCAGTCAGAGGATGAGATGACCCACCCAGGATGTCCCCCCGCGGGGAGGGGCCAGCGTAGGCCCCGCCCACAACCCAGCAGGCCCCACCTCCAGCCCAGCAGGCCCCACCCTCACAGAGGGCCGCTCACTGGTGTTGATGAGGAACTGATTGGAAACTCCAGGGTGGTCCACGTCGTGGATGGCGGCCGCGAAGAGGGCAGCGAGAATCTCCAGGTCCGTGAACACGGCCTGGGGGCGGAGCAAGGGGGTCAGAGAAAGGCAGGGGTTAGAAAGATGGGCAGTCAGAGAGACAGGGTGAAAGAGAAATGGGAGAGTCAAGAAAGATGGGGGGTCAGGAGAGAGAGGAACAGAGTCAAAGAGAGATGAAGGTCAGGGACCCAGGGTCAGAGAGAGAAACAGGAGATTTAAGATGGGCAGTGGGGGAGGGTAGGCTGGAGAGACGGGGTGCCCAGGTGGTGCTCACATCCAACGCCGGTGTGGCCAGCAGCACATGGGTGGACTGCAGCACATCGGCCGCGTGCAGGCTGTTGTGGTAAGCCACATCCGGGTGGTAGTGGTCCTCTAGGGTCAGCATGTATGTCACCATAGTGTCCACCGGGATGCGGAACTTCTTCAGCAGGTCCCGCTCCTGCGGGCAGATGTTGGGGGACGGTGACCCTCCCTGGCCCTCAGCTCCTCACCCCTCCCCCTCCCTCACAGCTGGCCCCACTCAGCCCGCCCTGCCAAGAATCTCACCCTACCTGGAATATCGTGTACATGATGCAGCTGAGGGAGCGGCCCCCAGCGTAATCTGACACACGAAAGATGTTCAGGCCCCACTTGTTCAGGTTTTCCAGTTCCTGGTGGAGACGGAGGCCACAGGTCAGGAGCCCCTTGAGGCCAGGACCCTCTAGACTCTTTTCTAGGAGTTCAGAGGTGTTAGTTACTCTGTCGTGGCCAACTCTTTGCGACCCCATGGACTGTATGTAGCCAGCCAGGCTCCTCTATCCATGGAATTCTCCAGGCAAGCATACTGGAGGGGGTAGCCCTTCCCTTCTCCAGGGATCTTTCCCACCCAGGGATTGAACCCAGTTTCCTGTGTTGTAGGCAGATGCTTTACCATCTGAGCCAGGTGTTCAGAACCCTGGTCTGAATAGTGGGACCATTATCACTCAACCAGTGGGTAGGTGTGCTCAGCAGTATAGAATTTACCACTCAGGTCCTACTGGGCCACAAAATAACAAAGCAACCCCAGTGTCTACTGAGTGCCTATGAGCTACCCAGCATTGCACGAAGCGCTTGATTTCACATGGCAGGTGAAGGAACCCAAACTCCAAGCAGTGACAAGACTTACCCAAGACCTTACATCTCACAAGCGGCAAGGCTGGGATGTGAACCCAGTGTGACTGACCCAAAAGCACGGTTCAGCCTCAGTTAAACTGCTCTTGGGCACCGGGAGGAAAGGAACATGGGCTAGTTTTTCATGTCTTCCCAGAATTCAGAGCAGTGCCAGGGACCTCCCTGGTCGTCCAATGGATTCTGCACTTCCACTGCAAGGAGCGTGGGTTCGATCCTTGGTCAGGGAACTAAGATCCCTCATGCCCTACTGCATGGCCCCCTAAAAAGTGCCAGTACACAGTAAGTGCTTAATAAACACTGGGTAACTGCATATAGCACACGGAGGGTTACAAGAAAAGCCAGCTGAGGGAGCCGCTGAGCTGTGTGTCAAGTCCATTGTACAAGTCAATGTGGGAGTCCTTTGGCCTAAGATTTCACGGAAAAGCCAAGAGGCAAATCTGGGTTTGGTCTGTAGTGGATGCTGATGGATTCTGTGCAGATTCCTTCCACTGGTAAGCGTGTCCACCCCTAGCTGCTGTAGCTGTCACACATTCTCACAGCTGTCCCTTCTCAGCAACCTGCTCTGGGGGTGACACGAAGATCCCACATGCTGTGTGGTGTGGCCAAAAAAAAAAAAAAGCCCTCCACAAAACTGCTGTTTTTCCGCTATAGCTATGTAGAAGGGGTGAGGGCATTCACCCTGGGGATAGCCTCCAGTCTATGACAAAAGGCCAGTGCAGCCAGCAGAAGACTTTCCTGGTGGTACAGTGGATAAAAGTCTGCTCCCAATCCTGGTTCGATCCCTGGTTTGGGAAGATCTCATCTGCCACAGAGCAGCTAAGCCTGTGAGCCACAGCTGTGGAGACGGTGCTCTGGAGTCCGAGAGCTGCAACCACTGAACCCATGTGCCACAACTGCTGAGACCCCGTGTCACAACTACTGAAGCCCGTGTGCCCAGAGCCTGTGCTCTGCAACAAGAGAAGCCACTGCCATGAGAAGCCCACGCACCGCAACAAAGAGTAGCCCCCGCTCACTGCAACTAGAGGAAGCCAGTGCACAGCAGTGAAGACTCAGTGCAGCCAAAAATTAACTAATTAATTTAAAAAAAATAGGCCAGCAGGCTTGCCTCAAGGTGGTTCAACTCAGTGGTGCTGTTCATACTCCAGAGCCTCATTGATTCCAGCTGAGACCACCCACCTCTTTGCTCCTTCCTATACTGCTTCCTGGACTTCTCAGGTAGCACTAGTGGTAAAGAGCCCGCTTATCAATGCAGGAGATTCGGATTTGATCCCTGGGTGAGAAAGATCCCCTGGAGGAGGGCATGGCAACCCACTCCAGTATTCTTGCCTGGAGAATCCCATGGACAGGCACACAGCACATACTGCTTCCTTCACTTCTCTCCTGAGAGTCTCAAAAGGCAGGTATACCAGAATCCTCATCTCAGTCTGACCCAAAGCCCAGTCCTTCCCTGCCCCCGCCCCCAGAACCCCGCCCCGTCCCCGCTGAGGCCCCACCCACTTGGGCCAGGAGCTCCTCTTGATCAGTCTTCACCCCAAAGCGGGGGATGCTGGAATCACTGAGGCTGCTGCTGTGCGTCAGCTTCTTCACCCCAGTGATCTGAGACATGGGCTGGAGCTGTGGCCCAGGGGCCGGGGGCTGCTGGCAAGGTCTCTGCCGTGGCGCTTGCTGTTTTTCCCGATCTTTGATCGTGGGTGATGGGATCTCCACTTCATTCCGCTTGTCTGAGGAAGATAGAGGAGAGGCAAGCATGATTACCCCACAGAAGCTCCCTCATCTGGCTCTCAGACCATGCCTGCCTTACCCCTCAAGCCCTAAAAATTCTCACCCAGGAGGGCAGACCTAGTCCTGGTGTCATGCTGTTGGTTGCTTATAGACTGGAAACCAGAGCGGAGGTAGGAATTCTTCTGGGAGGTGGTGGGCTGGAGTGGGGATCCCAGGGCCAGACGAGAGCTGTGGGGTAGTCCCAGTCCAATCACCAAGTTTGGCGAGGGGGTGGCACGGGAAGTCAGGAGGCAGGGTGGGGGTGCTAGAGAGGGCCTCTGCCTGCCTCGGATAGGCAAGGACCCTTCTCGGGCTGGGAAGAGAGCCCCGTGGTGACCCAGAGGGCTGGTGGGGGTGGACAGCGTTGGGAGGTGGGAAGGAAGGGTGGTCTCTGGCTCCATGGGCCCACCCCTACCCTCTGGACATCAGCCTGCCTGGGGGCCAGCCCCAGAAGTCTCTTTTCCTGAGCTCTTTAGACCTTCCAGAGTCCAGCCAGGGCCACCCATTGTGACCTGGGTCCCACCAGTCAATGACAGGGCCTAAGAGGGCTCATTTGCATGCTGTGCTCTTATTGGCTGGGTCTTTGGCATTCAGGCACTTCACACCCTCACTGGCGGGAATGTTTGAAACTCTGAAACCTTCTTTCCAGCTTGGTTGGGGGGGACGGGTAGCCTGAATTTGGGGAACTTTGGTGATCAATTCTGAAGGTGAAGTTACCCTGACTTTTTCAGGGATAGTCTCAGTAAAGGCTCTTGGCTTCAGGATTGGGGGGGGGGGCTGACCTTGGAGGTCCTTGTAGGCTGAAGGGTTCCAGTGAATTTGGGGTATTCTACCTTTAAGTTTCTGAGTTAAGGAATTCTCCAGAGTTTGGGGAATCACTGTATAGGTTTAAGTTAAGCAAGAGAATCCTATTGAATTTGGGTACCTAAAGTTTGGGGGTCTACTGAATTTGTGGGGATTGTACCAAGTTTGAGCATTCTATTGAATTGGGGAGATTTCAGCTTGGAGGTTTTTAAAAACTTTGGGGGTCTTAATGGGCTTTTAAGGGCAGGAATTCCCTTAAATTTGAGAATCCCACTGAGTCCAGGCATCTCTCTTGAGTTTGAGGGGTCTTCCGAGTTTGGGGCAAGGAAATTCAAGGTTGGAGATTCTACTGAATTTTGGGAGACTTTGAGTTCTATTTGAGTTTGGGGGTTTCTTGGGGTCCTTGAGTTTGAGAGTTCCAATGGGGTCCCACTGAGTTTGGAGGGACTTTTCAGCTTTAAATGTAGGGATTCTACAGGAGTTGGGGTCTCACTAAATTGGAGGGTATCGGAGTGTAGGAACTTTTGAGCGTGGTGACTTTGACCTTTGGGGAGGTGAGTCAGGGTCCCTTGGACAAATGTGTGCAACAAGACCCAGGGTCTGGCGTGCCCCCCAACAGTCCAGTTATGCATCCCCCTACACACATACACACAGTGCTGCCCTTCACTCACCCAGGAATGTGGTGGAGATGTACTCAGAGACCTGGTTTCCTGACCTGCTCATCTCTGACAGGTGTGTGAGTTCACGGTTTAGCATCCTCTTGAACTAAGGTGAAGGAGGCAAGAAGGAAGGCATGATAGGGTTATGGCAGGGGTTTGGGGGGATAAGGTCAGGCCTTCCCAAGAAACCCCTTAAGAACCCATAAGCCCCTCTCACTTCTCTGCTCAGCCAACACAGCCCTCAGCAGGCTGTGAGGGGGAGGAGTCAGTCCTTCCTCTCCTCCCAACTCTCAATGGGGGTCCCCAGGCTTGGGGAGTGTAGCCCTCCCTCTCTGAGGAAGGGGGTTTCCTCTCACCATACTCCCTCTTTCTGCCCCCAAGGAGGAGCCAGAGGGGCACCTGTGGAAGGGAGGGGCTCCTGCTTAACAGGGAGCCAATGGGGTGTCAGGAGAATCCTGTCACCATGGTGATGGGAGTCTCCTTAGCAACTCCCCCTCCAACCAGCTGCTGAGCTGGGGAAAAGGGGGCAGGCCGTGGGCCCCTTAACCCCTGCCTTCCCAGAGCTACCCCTGGCCCAGGTCTTCCCAGACAGGGACCCCACACCCCAGGGTCCTGGCGCCCCCCAGCCCTCAGCCTGGTTTGGAAGGAAGGAATGCAGTCCTGAAATTCTGGGTGAAGATGTTTGGCCGGGGCAGGGAGAAGGGTGAGCAGAGGAAACCCTAGTTCAGTCACCAGGGGAGGGGGGGTTCCCATCATAGCCCCCTCTCCCCCAACCTCAGAGGGTTGGACAGATGCACAGACGGACAGAGTATGCCTAGAACCAGGCCTGGGGGCTCCTCTGGGTCTCCCCATCTCTCTTCACACAAGTGGCCGCTGTGACATTGTGCATGAGGAGAAAGGGCATCAGCTCCCCACCCCCAAGCTCCACCAAAGCGCCCCCTGAGCTGGAGCCGACTGTCCAGAGAGGCAGGAGGGATGAACCCGCTCGGCCCACATCGGGAGGGGCACTCACTCCTCCCAGGGCTGCCAGAGGCCCCGGGCACCCATAGAGAGACACACATCTACACACAAGATGGACCCACAAAGTCACACAACCGCACACAGAGTCACAGACCTCCCACTTACACAGTGCTACACAGCCCCCAAACACACACATCAAGGAGCACACACAATAAAGCAGTCACTGAACTCGGGGTCATATGCCCCAGAAAAATCATGCAGCTCTGGGCTCATAAACACAGCCCAAAACACACCACCACAATCAGAACCATGTGATCTCGGCCAGGGCCATTCCCCGGTCCATGACCCAGGCACACGAGCCCACGGGCCTCAGGCAGCCCCCCACCACTCCAGACATATACACACATGCGCGCTGACGGTCACACCCAGAGAGAGACCCACACCCCCAGCCACCCACCTTCCACGCCCAGCCCCGGGCCGCACACAGAGACACAGTCACCAGGCTTCATCTCCAGGCCACACACGTGCACAGATGCACACACAAGCCCAGACCGGGGGCTGGAGGGTGCGAGGTGGGAGGGCCAGAGCTGGGTCTCTTGCCCATCCTCCACCCTGAGTTCCCCTACCTGGTCCCACCAGCCCACCAGCCACGGCTTGGAGCAGGTCTCGCAGAAGAAATCCACCAAGGGCATCGTGGAGTCTTGGCCCCGCTCAGGGCTGCCGCACACAGAGGCTGGGCTTGGGGAGTCCCGGGGTTAGCAGCTATTGTGGCAGGGGGGCGGGGTGCTGGGCAGTGGAGGGGGGAGCTGCGGAGGGGCCCAGGCCGGCCCAGCAGGGCTGGGGGGCTCCCTTCCCCTCCGCGCTCCCGGCAGCAGCCCTGGTTACATGGTCCGCCTGCCGTGGGCCCCGCTGGGCCCCCCTGCGGCAGCAGCAGTGGCTGGAGGTGGCCAGGGACCCCTGCCCATGGGGGCTAGGTGCAGGGCGAGGGTCCCGGGAGGAGGCTTCGGAGGCTCTGGGCTCCGTGTGTTCGCCCGTATGTGTGCGTGTGCGTGCTCACTGCAGCACTGGCAGGCTGCATGCGATGTCAGGTGGTGCTGGGGGTGGGGGGGGCGTTAAAGGGGCACCGGAGCCCATGGGCCTCAGGCAGGACCCAGGTGAGGTTGCCAGGGACAGGCAGGGAGGCACATGCACCTGGCAGAGGGCATGCCCCCTCCCCTGTGGACACACCCAGCAGCAGACACACACACCCACATGCTCCACACACCGACACACAATCAGACACAAATTCCACCCCACACCACTACAGCCAGACACTTGGCACACCTGACCACACTCTGACACCCAAATGCTTTCAGTCCTACGCTAACCACACAAACACACACACACAGTCACAACTCTGTTGTTCAATACATTTCTAGGTATAAAATTGGGCACACAGAAGTACAAATGCCTCCAGACACCCCTTCCCAGGATACGGACTCACAAGCAGAAGTGCAGGCGCACACTAAGGGATAAACACCCAGATACTGGACACACTTGCAGACACACTCAACACACCCACAGACACACTTGTAAACAAACATGAATACCCGCATGGCCTCAGACATAAATGTGGCCTGACTAATCTATAAGGGAATACGCACACTCACACCCACGGCTCCACACGCACACACCCCATCGCAGAAATACACCCGCAGACCTACATTCAGACACACAGTCACATTCTCAGATGCTCCACACATACCCTCAGGGACACAATTGCCCTCAGACTCACATGGTCCCAGACAAACCTCCACCCGTGGGTGTGTGCACCCCCCAACACAGACGCCCCCACCTGCACATTCATTTCCTGACAGGCATCCTCCCACCAAGCTGTACCACTCCAGGCGGCATCATTCACATTGCCTGCTTTCTGAATGGCGCCCCCTGGAGTTGTGCAGTGCACAGTCAGCACAACTGTACATGGATGCCTTGCACCCACTCCTGTGGCCTTGCAAGCACACATACACACACACAGAGTCAGACACATGGAGATACACACTCAGATTCACATCTGGACTAACTCACACCTCTAGAATACACATCCCCCTGGCACAGCCCCCCACACTGACAGCCCCACATTGTCAGCTGTGCATACTCTTACGTCCTCCATAGATACACTTGTGCATGCCACTCCTGACTGATCTTATTGGGATACCCCCCACTCCCCTCCCCTCCTCCCTGCCCAGCACTGCAATCGGGTAGCCAACAGACAGTCATATAGCCACAGATACACACTCATAGACCATACAAACATACAACCTGCTCCCCCCAGGAGAGAAGGTCGCCTAGGGACACACACACACACACACACACCCCCAGGTCTATAGGAGATACAAAGTCAGATAACACACACCACACACAAACACACACACACACCCCAGGTCTACAGGAGATACCAAGTCAGATAACACACACCACACACACACATACACACACACCCCAGGTCTACAGGAGATACAAAGTCAGATAACACACACACACACACACATACCCCATCCACACACACACACACACACCCAGGTCTATAGGAGATACAAAGTCAGATAACACACACCACACACACACACACCCAGGTCTACAGGAGATACAAAGTCAGATAACACACACACCACACACACACATCCCAGGTCTACAGGAGATACCAAGTCAGATAACACACACCACACACACACACACACACACACACACACACACACACACCCAGGTCGACAGGAGATACCAAGTCAGATAACACACACACCACACACACACACACCCCCCAGGTCTACAGGAGATACCAAGTCAGATAACATACACCACACACACACACAGACACACACACCCAGGTCTACAGGAGATACCAAGTCAGATAACACACACACCACACACACACATCCCAGGTCTACAGGAGATACCAAGTCAGATAACACACACACACACACACACACCCAGGTCTATAGGAGATACAAAGTCAGATAACACACACCACACACAAACACACACACACACCCCAGGTCTACAGGAGATACCAAGTCAGATAACACACACCACACACACACATACACACACACCCCAGGTCTACAGGAGATACAAAGTCAGATAACACACACACACACACACACATACCCCATCCACACACACACCCAGGTCTATAGGAGATACAAAGTCAGATAACACACACCACACACACACACACACACACACACACACACATACCCAGGTCGACAGGAGATACCAAGTCAGATAACACACACACCACACACACACATCCCAGGTCTACAGGAGATACCAAGTCAGATAACACACACACACACACACACACCCAGGTCCACAGGAGATACAAAGTCAGATAACTGACACCCAGGGTCTGACCCCACCTCACAGGCTCTAATCCCAGGTCGACCACGCCCATTGGCCACGCCCATAGCTAGCCCCCCGCCCCCCCAGCCCATGGCTCCACCCCGCTGCTCCTACACACCTTGTGGGAAGCCATCTCGCTGACGGAGCGGTAGGTCTGCATGGTTTCCAGCTGCTCCAGACACCAGTCCAGCTCCTCCAGTGTCTCCCGGGCCAACTGCTGACACGTCTCCTCTGGGGAAGGGGCAGCCGGGGAGGTGACTGCGAGGGTTCGCATGGAGACCCCCAGAGGTGATGGGGACCCGTCAGGTGAGTAGGGTGCTGGGAAAGGGGGTGAGGGAGCCCGCACTAGGGCACCACGAGGGGCCTTTCTCGTGCCCCGGGCTTAGTTACCTGATAGCGTGGCCTTGCAGACGGGGGTTGGGCCGCCCAGTGGGGACCGCCTGCAAAAAATCAGGCCCCAACCTCAGCCTGGCCCTCCCTGCGTCTCTGCCTCCCTCTCTCCATGAAGAGCACTGACTTTCCTCTTTATGGGCCCTCTCTGTGTGTCCCGGGCATGCTGCATTTACTCTGCCCACTGCCTCTCACAGAGCCCCACAAAAACCCATTTTACAGATGAGGAAACTGAGGTTCACAAAGGTGGAGCCAGCTTCCCTAAGACTATCTGGCTGGTTAGGTCAGACCCCGTGTCTCCTGCTTCCCTGCTTCCCTGACCATCCCTTCCCCAAGTTCCTTGAACCCCAGGATAACTCTGCCCTGCCCCTGGGCTCCCAGAGGAACCAGCGGCTCTCAGCCTCACTCCTGCCTCCAAGTAAGAACTACTTCTATTCAGTGAGCACTTACTATGTGCTGGGCAATATTCTAGCACTTTCTATACATCACCTTCTCAACTTCTTACAGCGGTTATCCAGTTTACAGAGGCAACACAGGAGGCTAACTGCCTGGCAAGCTGGCATCACGGCCAGGAGTGGCCCAGAGGCTGGGATGGCTGACCACTCATGACCTCAGCCTTGAGTGTCCATACCCCTCCATCTTTGTTTATAAAAGTTTCCCCGACTTAAGAATTTGAATCACAATGGTTTACTGGCTCAGTGGCAGCTGTTGCCTAAACAGAGGCTCATAGAGGTCAAGTGCCTGCCTGAGGTCACACAGCAGCTGTAAGAGTTGGACCCAGGTGTGTTGAGCCTCATGATCACAGACCCTGGGGCCCAGCCTCCACTTACTTGTTGCTGGGAATGGGCACATTGGTCAGGAGGGAGAAGTTGCTGCGAACGCTCCGGAGACTGGCCAGCACCTGGGTGGGGGAGCCAGGGTGAGGAGAGGGGTCCACCCAGAGCGGGGAGCTGGGGCTGGACCCCTGTCCCCACGTGTGGGGGAGAGTCAGAGCCCCGTCCCTTCTTAGGGGAGGGGGTCTTACCTGGGCAAACGGCGTGACGATGAGGTCCTCTGCATGCCTGCAAGGACAGGGGCAGGTCAGGGGTCCTCATAGTGGGGGACCCAAGGGTCTGGGGTGGACAGGGGCTGGGGCTACCAGAAAAGCAAGTCCCTAGGGTGTCACTCTGTGGGGGGCTGGGCCCCAGGAGGCTGGTGGACAGGAAGGAGCTCTGTGGGGTAGGGGAGGGGTGCTTATACCTCACAAGGATGGTCACGCTGCAGGGGCTGGTTCTGAAGGAAACAGTCAGGGAGAAGGGTTCAGGTGGGGCAAGGAGGGAGGGGCACGCAGAGACAAAAGGAGGGCAGTGAACACACCTCAGAGGCTGAGCTTGGAGAAACTAGTAGTGGGGAGGGGCGGAGGACAGGAGCTGGGGGAAAGGGGTGACATGGATGCCTCACTGGATAGGGACAGGGCTGGAGGGTTCAGTGAGAAGGAAGAGGGCTGAGGAGATGGGGGTGCTCACACCTCTATGCTGTTTAGTTGCTTCAGTCGTGTCCGACTCTTTGCGACCCCATGGACTGTAACCCACTGGGCTCCTCTGTCCATGGGATTTCCCAGGCAAGAATGCTGGAGTGGGTTGCCATTTCCTTCTCCACACACCTCAATAGGTGGTCATGATAAGGGGGGCTGATTTAGGGAAGCCTAGACATGGGGAGGAAGAAGAGGGTCAGCCGAGGTGGACCCTCTGGAAGTGGTGGCCAGGAGGGGCTCAAGTGGGGTTCCCTTCTTGCTGGAGAGATGGGATAAGGAAACCAAGGGGTAGGAGTGGGCATGGGCAGGTTGGGTGGGTGGGCACTGTAGGGACATGGGTGGGGCTGGGCCTGGGCTCAGAGTGGCCGGGTGGCGGGGCAGAGACGGGGTGGGCACTCATACCTCACTGGGTGGGTATGCTATAAAGGGGTTGAGTCCTCGATAGGGAATAAGGGTGCTGTTTGGTTTTTGCCGAGCATGGGCTGGGGTGGGGGTTGGGCAGCCCCCGCCCCCCCCTTGCTGGGGCCAGGAGGCCTGGAAGAGCCAGCCAGGCGGGGGGTGGCGGGTGCTCACGCCTCGCTGGTGACCGACGAGTTCCGGGACATGGTCTTGGGTGACATGTCATAGTCGCTGTCCGAGCGGTAGAGGAAGGATTCCCGGCGCTGGCTGGTGGCCGCCCCGGCATGCAGCACGAGGCCCGGGCTCGCCTGCGAGTCCAGCGGGCTGCGGCCTGGCGACGGTGTCGGTCCATTCTCCGCCTCCAAGCTGCAAGGGGTGGGCGGGAAGAGGGGTCAGGGGGCTGAGATGACATTGAGGGGGGGAGGGCGGGAGGAATGAGGGGACCCAGGAAATTCCTGACAAGAGAGACAGACACCTCAGAAAAGATGGGAGACAGGAAATGAGAGAGACCACCTTTGTATGCCTGGTCCTGCTGCCAGAGCTAAGGGACACAGCCATGACCAAGACAGACTGTGATCTGTGCCCTTCACAGACATGACACCGGGAGGGCTGGTCTAGAAACAGGCTAACTGAGCCGCACTGCACACCCCCAGAAGTTGTGGGGTCCTCCTTGCTCTGTTCTTTCCTTTGCACCTCAAAGCAATCAAATCTATTCAAGGGTAATCTGTCTGCTTCATACCGCTTCCTTGGCCAGCCTCCCCATCATCACCTGCCTGGGCCAGGACATTTGTCTTTGCTCTGGCCCCGAGCTTCTGTCTATACCCCTGTCTGCTTCCCTCAGCAGCCAGAGGGAGCCTGTGAATACCTGAGTTGGGTCATATCCCTCTTCTGTTTAGAGCCTTCTATGGCTCCCAGTTCACTCAGAGTCAAAGCCAAAGTCCTCGCTGTGGCCCACAAGGCCCTACCCCCATACCCACTCTGCCTTTCATGGACTCTGCTGCAGCCATAATTGCTATCTGGCTGTTCCCTAAATATTCCAGACACATTCCTGCCTCAGGGCCTTTGCACAGGCTGTCTCCCTGGCCCAGATCTCCAGTGGCTCTCCCTTCACCTCCTTCAGGCCTCCTCTCAAATGTCGCCTCTTCAGGAAGGCCTCCCCCAACCAACCCATCTGAAATGTCATCCCTGCCCTTATATTTCATAGTTCCCTTCCTTAAAATAAATACTACTTACCCGACACATTCTATGTTTTACTTCTCTGCTGTTTGCCTTCCTTCTAGAACTCTGCAGAGCAAGGATTTTTGCCTGCTTTGTTCACTGCTGAATCTCTGGCTAAGAACATGGCCTGGATGCCCAATAAATGTTTACGGTATGAATCAATCTATGAATGAATGAATGAATGAATGTATGAGCTGGATGGTGCCATCCAGGGAATTAAAACTAGGTGGGTGGCTGGAAAGGTGATTTTTAGCTGCTGTGGTGGAGGCAGGTCTCTCTGAGGAGGTGGTATCTGAGCAGGGCCTGAAGGATGAGAAGGAGCAGGCCATGGGTCAGGAGGTGGGAGAAAGCACTCCAGGGTGAGGGAACAGTAAGTAAAAAGGCCCTGTGGCAGAATCTGGTTTTTGTTGGGGGACCAGCAAGGAAATTGGTGTCACTGGAGTGGAGATACAGACAGATAACAGAAACACAACTATATAGAGGATACAGCAGGACTCCATTCTGCTGGCACTGGCCAAGACAGAGCCTCTGGATGAGGCAGGGAAAAGCTGGCCAGGCCACTTCCCAAGTGTACAACTTGGGGGAAAGATCGAATTTCAGTTTCCTCTTCTGCAGTGTGGGGGCAACCACCGCCTGACTCAGGTCATCCAGGTAACCGGCGTTAACACAGGTAACATGCTCAGGATGGTGCCTAGCATGGAGCTCAAGAAACACTGGCAGCTGTAAATCTATCAGCCCCCCATCTGTAACTCTATCAGTATCCCTGGGGAGGGAACTCAGCTAGGCAGTTGATATGAAGGTCTGAGGGTGAGCGTGGGGAGCTGTGTGCCTGTGGCATGCTATGTGACCTCGAGAAGGTCACTGCCCTCTCTGGTCTGTGGCTCCGTTAAAATGAGGGTGTTAGACTGGTCAGCAGATTTCAGGCTGTGCTCTGGTGAGTACCACCGGGTGGGGAGAGAGGAAAGAGAATCCTCCCCGCACTTTCTGGTCCTACTATTGAATGTCGGTCTAAGATTTTATTTGAATGTTTCCTCTGCTAAGAAATAAATCTGAGGGAATTCTCTTGCGGTCCAGTGGTAAGGACTCTGCATTTCCACTGCAGGGGGCCCAGGTTCCATCCCTGGTCAGGGAACTAAGATCCCACATGCCATGTAGCTTGGTCAAAAAAAAAAAAAATCTGAAATCTCCTAGACCAGGAAGGATAGCAATACCAGCTTCTATAAATGGACTCTTTTTCCTGGGCCAGCCCTGGGATGGGGGTGTGGAGGGTACTTCACTGCCTCCATTTTACACATGAAGAAACTAAGGTTCAGAGGGATGATTGGTTCCAGGTTACACAGTAAGGTCATAGTGTAGTCAGAATTCCAGCCCAAGTCTCAGATCAAAATGTTAACTGCTGCCCGCTGTTGACAACCCCCATCAGAGCACATTTCTCTCATTACAGCAAATTTTTCCAGGGGCCAGGCAGCCAACACAAAAAGCAGAATGGGGCTGGGGGCCCTGGGTTCCAATTTTAGGAAAGAAACCAGAAATTTTTAATAGTTGAAAACTCAAACACCTTTTGAAAACAAACTTCAGAAAACATTTTAAAAACACTGAACACTGCTCTGCAAAAGACACTGTCAAGAGAATAAAAGGACAAGCCACAGACTGGGAGAAAATTTCTGACAAAAGACTGGTATCCAGAATACATAACGAACTCTGAAGATTCGATAATAAGAAGACAGACAACTTGGACTTCCCCGGTGGTGCAGTGGTTAAGACTCTGCCTGCCAATGCAGGGTACACAGGTTCGAACCCTGATCCAGGAAGATGCCACAAACCGCAGAGCAACTAAGCCCACACGCTACAGCTACCAAGCCCAGGCGCCTAGAGCCCGTCTGTGCTCCACAAGAGAAGCCACTGCAATGAGAAGCCCGTGCACTGCAACTAGAAAGAGCCCTTGTGCGGCAATGAAAACTCAGTGGAGCCAAAAATAGATAAATGAAAATTTAAAAAGAAGAAGACAATGAAAAAATGAGCAGAAGTATGGACAGTTCACCAAAGAAGATACACAGATGGCACATCAGCATAGGAAACATCATCCCTCCTTAGGGAAAAGCAAATTAAAACCACGAACTATCCCTTCACACCTACTAGGATGCTAAGCAAACAAAAACTGACAAGGATACCAAGTGCCGATGACAAGGATTCAGAGAAACTGGAACTCCCATTCACTGCTGCTGGGAATGCCAAGTGGTACAGCCACTCTGGAAGACAGTTGGTTAGTTTCCTATGAAATTGAGCATACCCTAACTGTACAATCTGACAACTGCACTCCTATATATTTACCCAAGATAAATGAAAACATGTCTGCTCAAAAACTTGCTGACTAGGGACTTCCCCGGTGGTCCAACAGCTAGGACTCCACGTTCCCAAGGCAGGGGGCCCCGGTTCAATCCCTGGTCAGGGAACTAGATCCCACAAGCTGCAACTAAGAGTTCACATGCTGTAACTTAAGATCCTGTATGCCACAACTAAGACCTGCCCAGCACAGCCAAAATGAATATATATATATAGGCCTGCTGACTAGTGTTTATAGCAGTTCTCTTCATAATCACCAAAAACTAGAAACAACCAAACCAACCGTACATCAACAGACGAATGGATAAATGGTAACAGATCCATGCCGTGGAATGTGTTTATGCTTAGTCGCTCAGTTGTGTCCAACTCTTGCGACCCCATAGACTGTAACCTGCTAGGCTCCTCTGTCGATGGGATTCTCCAGGCAAGAATACTGGAATGGGTTGCCATTTCCTTCTCCAGGGGACCTTCCTGACCTAGGAATTGACCCCAGGTCTTATGCGTTGCAGGCAGGCTCTACTGATTGAGCTACAAGGGTATTCAGCAATTTAAAAAAACACAAAAATAAACTACAGATCTTCTTTGACTTTTTTAAATGAGGTGCTTTATTAGTGGCTTGGACTAAGATGGTTGTGGTGAGTTACTGAGAAATGGTTGTATTTGGAACATATATTTAAAATAAAACCTAAGGGATTTATTTATGAATTATTTGTATAGGATGAAGGAGAGGAGTCAGTGATTTCCTTGACTTATGATAAAGTCCTGATAAATCCAACGTAAACTGAAAATATCAAGATAGCTGAGGGCTTCCCTGGTTGTCCAGTGGTTGAGAGTCTGCCTTGCAATGCAGGGGATCCCTGGTCTGGGAAGATCTCACATGCCACAGGCCAACTGCACCCGAGCACCACTACTACTGAGCCTGTATTCTTGAGCCCACAAGACTCAACTGTTGAGCTTTTGTGACATGACTGCTGAAGCCCATGCACCCTAGAGCATGTGCTCTGCAACGAGTAGCCACCACAAGGAGAAGCCCCGTGCACTGCAATTAGAGAGTAGTCGCTGATTGCTGCAACAGGAGAAAGCCCTTGAGCAGCAATGAAGACCCAGTGCAGCCAAAAATAAATACATAAATTTGAAAAGGATAGCCTAGAAATAAACCCTCACATCAGTTCAGTTCAGTTCAGTTGCTCAGTCATGTCCAACTCTTTGCGACCCCATGAATTGCAGCACGCCAGGCCTCCCTGTCCATCACCAACTCCTGGAGTTTACTCAGACTCATGCCCATCGAGTTGGTGATGCCATCCAGCCATCTCATCCTCTGTCGTCCCCTCCTCCTCCTGCCCCCAATCCCTCCCAGCATCAAGGTCTTTTCCAATGAGTCAACTCTTCGCATGAGGTCGCCAAAGTATTGGAGTTTCAGCTTCAGCATCAGGCCTTCCAATGAACACCCCGGACTGATCTCCTTTAGGATGGACTGGTTGGATCTCCTTGCAGTCCAGGGGACTCTCAAGAGTCTTCTCCAACACCACAGTTCAAAAGCATCAATTTTTTGGCGTTCAGCTTTTCTCACAGTCCGACTCTCACATCCATACATGACCACTGGAAAAACTATAGCCTTCACTAGATGGACCTTTGTTGGCAAAGTAATGTCTCTGCTTTTTAATATGCTCTCTAGGTTGGTCATAACTTTCCTTCCAAGGAGTAAGCGTCTTTTAATTTCATGGCTGCAATCACCATCTGCAGTGATTTTGGAGCCCCCCAAAATAAAGTCTGACAGTTTCCACTGTCTCCCCATCTATTTGCCA